GGCTTTCCAGGGCATGTGCAGGGACCCATATAATTGCACTACCTCAGAAGTAAGTTCATTGGACTTTGCATTCCTTGTCTTTACCTTTTAAGGTATTGGTTAGCCTCATGTTACCCCCATCTTAGTGAAATTCTCTCAGACAGCTGCAGTGTTAAATAATGCTGCTGATTGTTTTTTAGCAAATACTCTGCAGATATGACTGCTCAGATACAGTGAGCTCTCAGTCAAATGAAAACAAGTTGAAAATGGAGCTTTTCAGCAGTCTTCCAGGCAGGTGATATAGTGACAGTTTTCTAGGGATGAAGCTTTTGAGAAGTTCCAAATTGACTCTGTTACGTCTCTAGTGGCCCAAGGAGGCCTTCTTAACATGTATATCTATGCAGGTCAAAGAGTATTCATTCATTCATTCATCCATTCATTCATCTCTCTCTCTCTCTCTCTCTCTCTCTCTCTCTCTCTTTCACACACACACACACACACACACACACACACACACACACACACACACACACGGTTCTCTCTCTCTCCATTGTACTCCTTGTTCAGTCCTTCTAACACGTTTCCTGATCTGAGGCCATGCCATAATCTTTTTTGCTGTCAGATTTCTGTACATTCTCGGTTTTAAAAAAGCTAAATCCTAATTAAATTTCAGATCACTCCTTTGGAAAGCCTTCCTAGGTTCTCTCAAATGTCTGTTGTACCTCTGCATGTAGCCATAGATTTTTTTATACTACACTTATTATACCATCCTATAATTGCCTATTTATGTATCTCTATCTCCAGGTAGACTACAATGTCCATGATATCAGACACTGTAAATATGAGCAGTTTGTGATCTATTACCTAACATTGGGCCTTGATAGATTTTTTTAATGAGTAGAAAATTTAAAGTCATTTATGAGTGAAGGAGCCAGCCATGTTCATTATTGGAAATACAAACAGAAAGCTGGACTGGTGACCTTTGCCTTTAATCTGAGCGTTCAAGAGGCAGAAGCAGGTGGATCTCTGTCAGAGCAAGGCAAACCTAGTCTACATAATGAGTTCCAGGCCAGCTGGGGCTACAAGGAGACCCTGTCTCAAAAAAAGTACAAACGTATATTAGATAACCTTGTGAATAAAGTAGACTTTTGAAATGGCAAAAATAAATGAGAAGCCCCCAAACACAATTTACAAACAAAAAGAGAAAGTGAAATGTCTGTCATTGTCAGTCATACATTATATAAGGAAATATACCACAACACCACATGTTGATGTCGTAATTTTTAGCTTTATATTGCTGTGACAAAAACACTGACCAAAACCAATTTGGGGAGGAAAAGGTTTATTGCATCTTACTCTTCCATGTTATAGTCCATTACCTAGGGAAGTGAGGGTAAGAACTTAAGCAAGAGGACGTGAGGGTAAGAATTTAAGGAACCTGGAGGCAAGAACTGAAGCAGACACCATGGAGGAACATTGCTTACTGGCTCCCTCCTGTGGCCTGCACTCAGCCTGCTTTTTAATAAAATACCCATATTAGAATTGTTAGTATTATGCCTAGAATTCGTGTTGTAGTTGCTCTTGAAGAAAAACAATGAATGAGGTAGTGAGCCATCCCTAGAAACCAGAAAAAGATATGTCTGCATTGAGATAATCATTGTGGCTGTGAATGGGATTTAAAGTCTTCAGAGTAGCGAAGTACAGTAAATACTCTTACCAATCATATTACCCATTTCCTCCTATATGAAAGTCCCTTTGTTTTCATAGATTGTTTCTTCAGATACTCAGGCTTCTATTTCATTTTTTTCCTTAAGCAATTATTCTGTTCTGCTGAGCATTCTTAATATTTTTAATATTTATTAAACACAGGCAGTGCGTTTTGTACTTGGGTCCTGGAAATACTGTGTTCATTCAACATAAACAACAGTGTCATCAAATGAATCAAGGAAAATAGGCAATTGTAATGCAAACTAAGAACTGAAAAATTAAGGATTAAGGAAGTATTAACTTTTAACTTTAAAAAAGTTAAGCATTAACTTTTTTAGAAATTGGGAGAATGTTCAATTAATGTTGAATAAAATGATCATTGCTTTAGATTTTGCCAGTCTGCTTTAAATCCAGTTTCAGTTACTTAAAAGCCATGTGACAATGACTCTCTTAGCCTCTTTGATACTTATATTATTGTTGCAAATTTTAGAAATAAATAGTTGTAAAGCACTTAGCCTAATGTTGTCTGCATTGTTTCTACTTTTTCCCTAAATCATACATCCCTAGATTTTTGTAATTCCAAAGCTTATGAATAGAAAAATAATTTCTCTGACTCCTACTAAGCAGAAAAATGTGAAAGGTGGTATACAGCTTTTATTTTTTAAGTTACTTCGTTGAACACTACTGAGGAAGAAACTGTTAATGGAAATAAAATTTATAATTCTTAAGCAACTATAACCCAAATTCCATTAAGATATATTGTTCTTTTTAAAATATCTTAATGGCTCAGCAGTTAAGAGCACTTGGCTGCTCTTGCAGAGGACCCAGGTTCAGTTCCCAGCTCCCACATGGTAGCTAACAACCATTCCTAACTCCAGTTCCAGGGGATATGATGCCGTCTTTTGGCCTCTTCAGGCACTGCAGGACACAAGTGCACTTGCATGCATGCAGGCAATACACTCATACACATAAAATAAAAAAATAATAAATAAAATATTTTAAAAATTACAGGGATTTTGTTATTACACTAGTAATTTTGAAGACCACTGGTCTTGAATATGTAAACTTACAGGAAATACTTCTGTCTCTCCATATTCTTCACCCTATAGTTTAGCATACTAATTGCTGTTAATCAAATTGTGGTTTACATCTACCAGGGTCAAGTTTAAAACTTTTATTCATTAGATAATTCAAAAGCATTTAAAGTAAATCATCAGTCAATTGATATATTTTCTGAAGACTCACAATTATAACTCGAATTTTCTCTATTTGAAGAATTTTAAGGTATACTTTTAGGAAGCAGTTATATTTAGAAATGAATTTTCCAAAGAATTTGCTTTTAATTTAAAATTTTTCATTCTTCTGAAATTGTGTTATAACTGATGGTATAAATAGAAACTAAATTTGCAACATAATAGCAACACAATTTGTAATTTTGCAAAAATAAGATGATTAGTAATTCAAATGAGAATGAATATGTAAATAAGTGGTAGAGGACTTGCCTAGCACACACAAAGCCTTAAATAGGTTCAGTCCCTGCACCAAAATAGTTAATCAGAATATTAAGTGTAGAGGTTACAGGTGTTATCCATTGTATGACTGACCTGTCCAATATTGCTATACTTTATGTAATAACTTCTAGATTTGTTAATTCTGTTTGTAACTATACCTTAAAAGTAAGACAAACCATGCCAGGAGTTGTGGCATATGCCTTTAATCCCAGCACTGGGGAGGCAAAGACAGGAAAACCTCTTTGAGTTCAAGGTCAGTCTGATCTACATATTGAGTTGGAGGCCAGCTGGGGCTACAAGGGAAGACCCTGTTATTATTTATAGTAAAATAGCCACAGAACAGTGAACAAATTTATGTTTTATATAAATCTGAATCAGAAATGGGAAATAGTAATTAATAAAATACTTTCCTACCAAAAGCAAAGAGTGAGGAAAATACAGTGAAAGAGAGAAGCTTGAAGATTTTTCTTGCAGAATAGTTCAGTGGTAGGGAATGACAGCACGAGAAATACAGATGTGTTCTTCATCACTGCTGTTCTCTCTGTTTGAATTAGACAAATGACATATACCCAAGAGGAACTAAGGACAGTATTCAGAGGATAAGAATTATTCCATATAGTCCTGTCAGATTCAGGAGTGTAATAGTGCCTCTTTCTGTTACTGTTGTACTTGGTTTAGTTTTTGTTTTGTGACATTCTCTCTAGTATTTCTTTCTTTATCTTGGCTGTGCCAGGTTGTATGTTGGTGAGTCAGCATCCTTAAAAGCATTTTTTTCTTTTAAACTTTTGACAATCCATGCCCCCTCCCTCCACTGTGTCTCCCTCTGTCCCATTCCACTAAATAAGGATTTTTGGATATCCAGAAGTCTATTTCCATTATAGACATTGATCTATAAGATTTCCCCCCTTAATAGCAAAATTTTATTTTATTTATTTATTTATTTTGCTTATAAAATATCTTTAGTTGATTGCTGGAGATTTCAGAATACACTAAAGAGAAACAATTCTATTTGATATATAGGCACACTTTGAAGAGATTCTTGTGATTCCTCCTTGCTTTCCATGGAGTGAACACACAGGTCCCACCTCTATTTTGACAGACTCCATTTCAGAAGGAAAATAATGTGAGAGAGGTTTAAACTGAAATAGAGTGAATTCTGAAAATGACTTAGCTGTCTGTAAGATCGGCCAACCTACTCAAGTGCCTGGCATCTCCACTTTCCAGTTGAACTCTTGCTTTTATTTATTTATTTATTTATTTATTTATTTATTTATTTAATAATCTTTATCCCCTCTCCCCCCTCTGCACCTTCCCATAACATCCCCACCAAAATTTTATTTTTATCCTTCTTTCCATCCTCAATAGCAAAATTCCATACAATGGAACTTCTTTTGCCCTTTTCTTTCTCCTAGAGCTATTTCTGTCTTAGGGAAACCTTTCAATTGAAAATGTTAACTCAAAGACAAGCATTCACTGATTTTAATAAACTTTCAGTGAATTATTGTAAGCTTTATGACATGATTCAGTGATGTACATAAAGCTAGTCAGATTTGTAATAATTAAGTAGCTACATAGGTTTCACCCAAACTATATAGCATTTAAATCATATACTTCAGTGCTTATGGTTACAAAATGCTTCTGAGTGTTCTGTTGTAAAATATGGTTAATGCAAGTAGTTATGGGCTAATTTTCTTATCTTAGATAAGCTGTGTTGCTATTGGAACATTTGAATGATTTACATTCTGAATTTTATAGTGTTAAAATGTGTTTCAAGACTAAACTTTATAATATGTTACATTTTAGGTCAGAAGACATGTCTTCATCTACATGGCATCTTTCCTTACCTCTATGTGCCATACGATGGTTATGGACAGCAACCAGAAAGCTATCTTTCTCAGATGGCATTCAGTATCGACAGAGCACTTAATGTGGCTTTAGGCAATCCATCTTCCACTGCTCAGCATGTGTTCAAAGTGTCATTAGTATCAGGAATGTAAGTATATATTATCCTTTAAATGTTATCTGTATTTCTTTTGCTAGTCTAATTGGAGAAAAACACTCAAATGCAATACATTCTGTTGATACTTGTTTTCCTTTCATACTGATGGAACTGGTGGATTTCTTTTGAAACTTTTAAAATATATTTTATTTTTATTTTATCTGTATGAATGTATTGTCTGCATGTATATAAGTGCAGCCATGTCATACAGTGCCCATGGAGGTCAGAAAAGGGCACTGGATCCCCTGAAACTGGAGTTACGGATGGTTGTTAGCCACCATGTGGGTGCTGGGAATCAAACCCAGGTATTCTGCAAGAGTAACCAGTTCTCTTAACTGCCAAGCCATCTCCCCAGCCCTCTTTTAACACTTTTAAAAGTAAATTTAAATGACAACGTATTAGTGGTTTTTGTTTTAACCTTTCCAATTTCTCTGGTTCCTAGAATTGAAAAATTCATGTAGTTACTTTTTGAGAACTTTTCTGTCTGCACTATCCTGGGCTCTTGGTGTATTGCTCTGCTTCCTTGTCACTATACTGAACATCTGGGATTATCAGTTTATAAAAGGAAAATATTTAATTTGTTTCAAAGTTTTATAGATTCCAGTTCATGATCATTTGAGAGTACATCATGGCAGGAACATGTAGCTGAACATACTCACCTTATGTCCAGGAAGCATAGAAGAGGAAAAGGAAAAGACTATTCAGCCACACTTCCCATTACAACATGATCCTAATAACCTAAAGACGTCCACTAGACTACACCTCTTAAAGGTTTCTTCGTTTGTCAGTCGTGCTATTCTGGGGAAGCCTTTAACTCACAGGCCTTTAGAGGGCTTTCAAGATGTAAATTATTGCACTTGTGATACATTGCTGAACAAAACATAAGTCTCTGCCACTGTTGCATTCTAGAAATAAGAACCAGATAATAATGCATATAAAATGACTTATTTATTTGCTACTTGATAATTGGTGGTATAGAAGAAAAGAAGATGGAGAGTAGGATAAGAAAAATCATTTTAGTGTAGGAAAAGTGGACTTGTGACAATTTTAAATAGAGGAATAAGCAAGAAGCCAGGTGCTAGAATGGAGAAAGTAAGGAGAGGATGACAAAAGGAAAGTAGAGATACATATGAAAGGGCAAAGATCATATAGGATGTAATTCTCAAGGTATAGTTTCCATACATTGGTTTCTAATATAATTAAATATTAACTTTATTTGATTTGACAACTATGAAAATGGTTTTCTCTTAAGTACAGAAAGTATACCTGAACAATGGAGTGGTGAAATCTAGTTTGCTGCTCCTTATGACCTGAAACTGCTTTCTATAAGCTAATTTTACCTAACAAAATGACTGAATACAAGAATGCTAAGGCAAGACTGTTACTGGGAGACTTGAGAACTTGCAACAGCTTTGCTATGTTTTTTCTTTTAAATAACATTGTAGTGGACGATAACTCAAGTTCTTGCCTCCATTTCTTGGATCAGATCAGTATGTAGGCCTGATGGTTGTCCAGCCACTTGTGGGTCTACTCATTTCCTTTCGAATGTATTCTCCCTAATAAATCCTTTCATGGCATTTATTTCTCAGAGAGCTTGGGGTAACATAGCTAACAGATTGGTTAAAGAATATTACTAGGTCACAACCCAGACCTATTGAATCAGAAACTGTTGATTGGAGCTCAGAAATCCATATTCAGGAAACCTTTCTGACAATTCTAATGCATGCTCAAGTTTGAGAATCACTGCAGGAGGCTATTTTTGAGAACTTTTAATTTTACTCTCTGCTGCTGCATGATACTGAGAAGTCAGGGTCTGACTTAAATTTACTAGATTACTTTAACAACTATGTAGGGGAACAAAGATTGTAGGAAGACATGGGTAGAGAAGCAGGAAGCACATTATGACTCTTGTTCGTTAGTCTAGGTGATAAAATATGGTGGCTTGAATTAGGGTAACAGCAAGGAAGTAGTGTGAAATGGTCAGCTTCTGATCTATTCTGACAATTAAGATTTGTTGTTCAGTTGGTTGAGAGTTGTGGAATGTGTCAAGGATGACTTCAGAAATCTTTGTACTGCTCAAAATTTTGAGTCTGTATTAGTGGAACACACTAGAGGAAAGACAAGATTCATGCTTAGACATTTTGAGTTGAGAATGTCTGTGTGCAATCCAAGTAGAGACCTGTCTTTCTCATATCTTAATCTAGGCTTTCCTTGGATAGAGTGCTTTCTTCTCCTATACTTCCATAGTATTCTTTTACTTGAATTCTCTTTTTCTATTGTCTGAGTCTAAATCAGTAAAAGCACTCTTCTTAAAATGTAATTGGATCATTTTAAAATCATTTGAGGGGCTGGAGAGATGGCTCAGCAGTTAAGAACACTGGTTGTTCTTGCAGAAGACCTGGGTTCAAATCCTAGCACCCACATGGCAGCTAACAACTGTCCGTAACTCCAGTCCCAGGGGATCCGAGAGCCTCTTCTGACCTCCTTGGGCATTGCACGACATGGGTGCACTTACCTACATGCAGGCAATACACGCATACATATAAAATAAAATAAAAATAAAAATGTTTTTAAGTTTAAAATCATTTGAAATCTTTCATATTGTTCATAAAGTTTAAACTTCTAACCACACCTACATAATTTTGATCTCTATTTACCTCCTATTACTTTGTTTCATCTAGAAACACTGATCTTCTTTGCTTTCAGTTCCCATGTGTACCAGGCTCTTTCCCACTTGAGTTCTTTGCACAAGCATTTTCCTTTTCTTAAATAGTCTACTTCTGTTTAGTCTGTCAGACTTCTCCAGAGTTTTCTTTGACTACCTCACCTTTAAGGGACGTTGTCATTATCATCATTATTCTATAACCCTGCTCCTTCTTTGTTAGCACTTAACACAGCTTACAATTATTTTAATCTTTGTTTATTTACTTAATTTTAAGTGTTTTTCCCACTAGCTTATAAGTTCAGTGAGAAAAAGGACTATGCTTATTTATTTATTACATCCCTAATACCTTTTAACAGTATTGACTAAACTAGTCAAAAGAGAGACAAACAAAATAGGATATAGATGTAGTTGTAGATCTGAAAAAACATAGATATAGATATTGAGAGGGAATTTATTAGGAAAATTGTGTCACATGGTTATGGGACCTTAAGAAGTCTCAACAGTCTGGAAGCCCTGGGATGCTGGTATGAAGTCCAAGTCTGAAAGCCTCAGAGTGAAGAAAATTGATGGTAGACCATAGAACTTGGAGGCTGCTGATATAAGTCTGGAAAGCAGAATTGAGATTTACAAAAACTGAAGAGCGTGAAGCTCTGGTGTCATAGAGCAGGAGAAAAAAGTATATCCTGGTTATAGGAGGAAAGAGGAAATCATCTTTTTTTTTTTTTTTTTTTTTTTTTTTTTTTTTTTTTTGGGTTCTTGGTGGATTGTGCTTACCTACATGGGAACAGATCTTCCCCAATCTCTAAGTGAGATTTCTCTACTTAGTCCATTAACTCACATACCCATCTCGAGATTTCTGGGAACACTCTCACAGACAAAGCCAGTTCTCTAGTTAGTCTATGATCTAGCCAAGTTGGCATCTAAAATTAACCACAAGCATTTAGCAAATATGGATCATTAAGTATTTGCTCAAGTAAGAGTGATATGAAAGTTCATACCCAATTCTACAACAGCAGCAGTTTTGCTTAGAAGTAATCATCAACTGTCTTCTAATTTATTTATTTATTTTTTGGTCTTTTTTGGAAACAGTCTCTCTGTAACCCCAGCTGGCCTGGAACTCACTACATAGACCAGGCTGGCCTTGAACGCTCAGAAATCTGCCTGCCTTTGTCTCCTGAGTGCTAGGACTAAAGGTGTGTGCCACCACAACTGGCATCTTCTAATTTTTAAAAATTATTAATTTTTATGCCAGGCATGGTGGCGCATGCCTTTAATCCCAGCACTCGGGAGGCAGAGGCAGGCAGATCTCTGTTAGTTCAAGGCCAGCCTGGTCTACATAGTGAGTTCCAGGCAGGCTGGGGCTACAGGGAGACCCTGTCTCAAAAAAGACCCAAAAAAATTATTAATTTTAAGAACTTTCTTATCAGTATCTGATGTCAAATTTGAATCTCCTAGTGTATCGAACAATTGACAATCTCTGTTTTGCTGAGTATTTGTTATTGCACTGTCTCATTTTTGAGCTACATACACAGATTCAAAAGTTCAAATAATTTTTATTACCATTCTTCTATTAGTTTAAAATTTATTTATGTGTTTGAGTGTTTTGCCTGGATTTATGTAAGTGCACCCCTTTCCTGCAGTGCCTATGGAGGTCAGAAGAGGGCATCAGATTGGAATTCAGATGGTGGTTAGCTGCCAACGGCTGCTGGGAACCAAATTCTGGTCTCCTGCAAGAGCAGCTAGTGCTTTTAACCACTGAGTCATCTTTCCAGTTTCCCTCCTCCCCCATTCTCCTTTTTGCTTCTTTTAGTAATTTTTTTTTTCTTTTAAACTGTAGGTATCTTTTTTTTTCCTTATCCAGTTCTACTTTCTCAAATTTATTTACTCTCACACATAGATTAAAAAGCCACTTTAAAAAAAAGTATATTTTTAATTAGCACATAGTAACAGTGTATTTAATGTCTACATGACATTTCAAAACATGTATACCATGTATTAATATTGATCAGGAAAATTAGTATGTCAAGCCTCATTTTTTTTTTAATTTTAGAAGTATTCAAAATCCTTTCTGCTATCTCCTTGTAAAAACTAATTGTAAACAACCATAGTTACCTTTTTGTGGTGAAAACATTAGAAATTATTTCTCCTAACCAACTGTGCCCTATACCATTGGGTGGTATCTTTCCTGTTTTAGATTTTTTCCAGCTCTGTTTTTTGTTTTCTATTTACTTAAGATCAACTTCTCAGCTTCCAAATATATGTGAGAACATGCACTATTTGTGTTTCTGTGCCTGGCTTAGTTAACACAATATCCTTAAGTTCAATTCATGTTGCTTCAAGTGACAGAATTTCATTAGTTTTTGTGGTTGAATTACATTCCATGTAAAACAGATATATACTCTTATTTTCCTCTATTCGTTCATCTGCCATGTATACTTCGGTTGATTCTATTATATTAGCAATTAACAACAGTCTTGTAATAATGTGCAAGTGTAGCTGTATCTTCACATACTGATTTTAATTCTTTTGATTATATACCTACTACTGTAATTGCTGGATCATACAGGAGTTCTGTTTCTAGTGTTTCTGAGGAACATTCATACTATTTTCTGTAAGGACCATACTAATTAATATTATTAACATATGAGGGCTCCCCTTTCTCTGTATCCTTATCACCATCAGTCATTTTTTTTGTCTTTTAGTAATAGCCATTCTAGATAGAATGACGTTATATTTCATTCTGGTTTTGATTTATATTTCCTTGGTGATTAGTGATCTTGAGCACTGTTTCATATAATTGTTGGTCGTTTGTATATCCTCTTTCGAAAATGTCTGTTCTTAACATTTTTTCATTTAAAAAATTAAATTATTTGTGTTGTTTTAAGTTTTTAATATTGCTCTGTATACATGACAAGAGAATTGGTGTCTAGTTCTTTTTATTCTGCAAATGGATATCATTTTACTTACTGAAGAGACTTTGCTTTCTTCAGTCAATATATGCTTCTATGCTTTTGTAAAACAAATCAGCTGGCTGTGAATACATATTATTTTTGAATTTGCTGTTGTCTATATCATCCACCGCCCCTAGTACCATGGTCACTATAACTTTGTTGTATGTTTTTCAGTTGGGTATTGTGATTCTTTAGCTCAGGATTGTTTTGGTTATTTGTATCTTCTGTGGTTCCCTACAAATTTTAGTTTGTTTTTTTTTTTTTTCCTGTGAAGAATGTCATCAGTATTTGGGTGGGAATTTGCATTGAATTTGTAGGTCACAGAGTCAGTATGGATATTTTAACTATTGTTTTTTCCCAATCCATAGACACAGGCCATCTTAACTTCTGTTTTGTTTTGTTTTGTTTTTGGTGTGTATATCCTATTTAATTTCTTTTCAGTGTTCTATAATTATCATTGTAGAAAACTGAAGTTATGGATTATTAGCCACCATGTAGGTCCTGGGAACTGAATCCAGATCCTCTGCAAGAGCAACCAGTGCTCTTAACCACTGAGCTATCTCTTCAATCCCTGAGAGAGACTTTTTGGTCAGATATTTTGGGAGTTCTTTGAGCTTTCTGAATGTGAATTTTGTCACATAGCCCATGTCTGTCTTGATCTGATCCTTCTGCCTCTACTTCCCTAGTGTCTGGCCATGTTATGTTTTAAGTAGTTATTTTTTTGTCTAGCTTTCCTGTACCTCTTCCCTTTCCTTCTGAAATTTCATAAAAAGGTCAATGCTTGCTTGTTTAATGGTAATCCAGTAAATGTCAATAGCTTTTTTGGTTGTTTGGGGTTTTTTTTGATACTTTAATTTTTTTATAGAATTTTGTGTATTTCATACAGAACATCTCGGCCAATCTTAATCATCTTTATAGTCCCTTCCCCACCAACACCCTCCCACAGCCCCCCCACTAGAATTCATATATTAGTCATTTGCCTTAAGTTAGTGTCCCCAGGCATCCCTCAGTGCAAGTTCATCTACTGAGGTCTAGTCAGCCTCTTGCTTTACGAAGATCAGCTCTTCCTCATCCAGCAGTAATCAGTTGCCCATATTTTTTCAGCTAAGATTGGGGTCAGCTGTCCCCAATCTAGTTTTTGTCTGAGTTTGCATGGGACCTGTGCATGCTGACACCATTGCTGTAGGTTCACATGAGCAGGGTCCCAGGAGCTTGTAGAACTCTTATTTCTATATGGTCATGCACCTCCTCCCTGACTCTTACAATCTTTTCGCACCCTCTTCCACAATTATGAGCCCTGGGTGGGTGTAGTTTAATATAGGAGTCCTCTCCAAGGACCAGCATTCTTCAGACTCTTAGTCTCTACACTTTGGCCATTTGTGACCTTTTGTGAGGAAACTTCATTAATGAGAATTGAAATGCTCATTATTGTCTTCTTTACCCCTTGTTCTATGTTCAGTGAGCCTTAGGTATAGAGGTTGCATTGTAGATGTGCCATTAGACTTGGGCAATTCATAGACAGTGTCTGTGTGGGACCAGTTGTCCCACATAGTCTCCATCTAGTGCAAAAGAAGCTTCTTTGATGAGTAGTGAGTGGGATATTTGTCTGTAGATATAAGGATACATATTTTGCACATAGTAAAAAATTACATTATTCTAGGGATATGACAGTTTGGGGGTTGTCAGTCTCTTTTTTAAGAATTTGATTAGGTTATCTCAAGACCTGTCATCAAGCTCAGAAATTCTTCTACATGTTCAAGTCTAATGTTAAGGCTCTTAACTATATTATGTTTAAGTTTTCAGAAAATCATTCTCTTCAAATTCTTTACCAAGCAATTGATTAATTTCCTTTTCTTTACAGTCTTGCTAAACAGTTACTGTGTTTCTTTGGAAGCACCATGTTGCCCCCCCCCCTTTTTTTAAATTCTTCCTTATGCTGGTATTAGTATATCTGGTGGATTAGTTCCCTCCTCCACTCTGTAGGGTGACTTTGGTAGTAGGAGACTTTCCTAGAGTTCTTGTTGGGTGTGCTTAGTATAGTATGTATTCAGCTTTTTCAGTTACAATCAACACTTACAGTGTCTGCAAGTTTCTCTGTACCTAGGCTCCAGTGGTTGTGGGATTACATTGCCAACTAGAAGGCAGTTCCCTTGAATTAGGCCTGGTATACCCCGCTACAAATGTGGTGTCCATTTGTGTAATGGGGCATGCTAAGGCTAGACCACTGTGATCTTCCCAGTAGCACAGAATGCCTGGTAGAAGAGTGCTTGTTAACATATTTTAAGAAATAAGAGAGAGTATCTGTCTGTGCCTGAGAGTTACACCAGTGACTTCATTGAACCTCTGGAGGATGAGCTGCCCAGACAGCTCTACCCAGCTATTTCTAAGGATGAGAGTGGATAGGTGTGGCAAAGCTTCTGTGAATAGACTGCTGGACCACTTTTTGGCCACAGTAAGATCATCACTAGGGCTGCCTGGGTGCTTCCTAGGGGCTTCAAAAGGCCAAGCCAAACTAAACAGGAAGCTTCCTGGGGAACTCAGCAATCTTAACCAAATGGAAAAGGCTACTCTGCTGCTTCTAAGGGTGTGGGTTGATAGGAAAGAGCAACTCCTTTATAGAGTGTTGATGATTAAGGGTAATGTAGAAACGGTTTGCTTCTCCTTTTGCCCTGATTATGTCAAAGTGGTATTTTTAAAGATTTTTAAAAATGCTTCAGTATTTTTTCATATGTAAACCTCTGGTATATTTAATTGGAAGTCTTGGGGTATTTTTTAAATTATTTGTGTTTTAGATAATATTAAATGTAAAGAAGACTGAATTAGGCCACCTAAGCCCAATTAGGACAATAAGTTACATTATTTCATCTTTGAGTTATGGAAATAATTTAAATGTTTTTCTTATATTTCAGGCCTTTTTATGGTTATCATGAGAAGGAAAGACACTTTATGAAGATCTATCTTTACAATCCTGCTATGGTGAAAAGGTACTAAGATAAATGAAACCAAAATATGAATAACCATCACTTAATATTTCAGCAATAAAAGGGAAAATCTAGAAGGCCTATGTAGTTTTAATATCATTACAGCAGAGACCATAAAATGTACATAGATACATGTTATAGACAGAGGCCCATTGCTTAGATTATAAAAGTTTATTTCAAAGGTAGAAGGTCATTGGTTTATGGCACTTCTCTGCTTCTTTCCTGTCTTAGATGTAGAGAGTTTGTAGAAATGTGTAAATAGAGATGAAAATACTTCATATAATGTTAGGGTCCCATTGGCCAGAAGAGATGCTCAATACTAAAACAAGATAATAAGTAAAACACTTTATTTCAAAGTGGGGTGGTGGTGAGGTGACTCAGCAGTTAAGAGCACTGGCTGCTCTTACAGAAGACCTAGATTTGATTCCCAGCACCCACATGGAGGCTAGCAACAGACCCTAACTCCAGTTTCAGGGTATCTGACCCCCTCTTTTGACCTTTGCAGACATTGTACGACACAGGTGCACTTAGATACATGCAGGCAGTACACTCATACTCATAGAATAAAAACAATAAATATATTTTAAAAAGACAAGATAACTCTGGGCTGGAGAGAGAGCTCAGTGGTTAAGAGCACTGACTCAGAGGCCCTGGGTTCTATTCCCAGCACCCACATGGTGGCTACAAACTGTCCTTAACTCCAGTTCCAGGGGAATCCTAAGCCCTCTTCTGACATCTGCGGCATTGCACAACAGGGAGGCACTCACATACATGTAGGCAATGTACTCATACACATAAAATAAAAATAATAAATAAAATATTTTTTTAAAAAAGACAAGCTAACTCTTCAATTTCAAAGTAGGGAGACATTTGTGAATGTAAGACCACAGTGAGAAGAAGGTGTCTTATTGACTCCTTACGAGATGTTTTATATTTTGGATTTTGTTTGTTTTTCTTTTTGTTTGTTTTAGTTTTATCCTTAGTCTATGTGCCTCAGTTTATTTTCCCCATTATTGAACCCGTATTATTGAGAGCAGTAATAAAGCATACATATTTTATTATCCTTTGATAAAAATCACAAGATTTTTAAATATATGTAGTAATGAGTATAAGTGGCCTTAGAGGAGTGCTGAATTTTGTTTTATTCAAGAGTGCTTCTTGGCCACTAGCTACTGAGTCCCAAATTTTAATCATTTTAGTATGACATAACTTGAATGTTTGTCTACTTTGAATCAAGGAGCTGTGAAAAATACAACTTCCAAGGGCATGAGTTTTGCTCTGGATTAAACATTGACTACCTTCCCAAATTACATCCTCAATTTCAATAATTATTTTCTTTTGTGAGTAACAAGTAAAAACTAGTTTTTTGGGCTAGAGAGATGGTTCAGTAGTTAAGAGCACTGGCTGCTCTTGAAGACCCAGGTTCAAATCCCAGCACCCACATGGTAGCTAACACCCATCCGTAACCCAACTCCCTCTTCTGGCCTCCGCAGGCATTGCACAATATAGATGTTCTTACATATGTGCAGGCATAACACTAATACACATTAAGAAGTTTAATTTTTTGTTTTAAAAACTAGTTTTTCTGTAGTCTACCCCTGACCATTATCCAAAATAGCTTCTATAAAATATTAAAATAATTTTCCAGCATAGGCACCCAGTAGAAAGGATTTTTTTGTACCAGTTCTCTTCTAATCACATTACTTATATCCATGAAACACAAAAGGACAAGCCTTGGGGATTTTTATCATCTCTCATATACTCAGTGGTAAGAAAGTAAATATCATCTGGGTGTCGTTAATCCCAGCACTCGGGAGGCAGAGGCAGGTGGGATCTCTGAGTTCAAGGCCAGCCTGGTCTACATAGTGAGTTCCAGGCCAGCTGGGGCTGCTGGGAGACCCTGTCTCAGAAAGACCAAAAAAATAAAAGAAAGTAAATATCATTTTTCTTTCTCATCCACAAGTTGTGCTAGAGTAAGAACCACAAGTAAAAGTTGAATGTCAAGTGTATTCCATTTTTCTTCTTTATAACTATAATAATCAAATGCTTACTAAACTATTCTAGTAAGTTTACTTTGTATTCTAGTCAGCTTATCTCTGTGCATAAGCTGGTTCAAAACCACCTGATTTATTACTAGATTATTTGTTCAGCATTTTATAGATACTTGTGAATTGTCTACAGTATTTGTTACATTGGTGGGTAAATGTTAGTGAGCAAAGTTTATATGGTTCCTGCCCTCAGGGACCTTACAGCAAAAGGGGAGATGAATTAAACAAGTAAACTCAGGAATATAATAAAAATACATGCTATGAAGGAAATGATAGGGATTTAATGATGGAAAATATTTTTTTCCTTTCTGTTCTTTTAATTATAACATTTTATAATGATTGTTCATATCTCAGTATTTAATGCACAGTGAAGTAGTTGAAGTCTAGACTCTAAAAATAAATTGATAAAAAAAATGTTAAGGAGAATTAAAAAAGGGCTAGAGATTTGGTTCAGTAGGTAAAGCTACTTGCTGCAAAGCCTGACAACCCGAGTTCCAGCCCTTAAATACACATGGTAGAAGGAGAGAACCAACTCCCACAATTTGTTCTTTGACCTCTGCATACAATAAAATAAATAAATGTAATTTTAAAATTGCCTGCAGACTGGGCAATCACAGGCATGTACAGGCCTTTAGTCTCAGCACTGGGGAGGCAGAGGCAGGTGAATCTCCCTGAAATTAAGACCAACCTAGTCTACATAGCAAGTTCCAGGTTAGGTTGGGCCACAGGGAAAACCTGTCTCCAAACAAAACAAACAACAAAAAAATTTACCTGAGTCCAAAATCTGTCACTGATGCTTAATAGTTAAGTGACTTTAGGCAAGAGATTTACCCTCTTCATATTATAGCTTCCTCATCTTTTGATTCTGATAATTAATGTGTTGATATCTGTAAAACAGGCTGATACCCGCTCCTTTTCAAGGATCTCTTCTAGCCATCTGGTCAGTTGTCCACATCTTACTTTCTTACTCTAATAATAATAATGCTGCTAATTTTATACATGCACATTTATACATAGAGATGCGCCCATCTCTCACCCATCTTCTTGAAAGATTTATCTCTTCATATCAAATTTCTTCCCATTCACTTTTTGCCCCTTATGACCAATCCATTGAAATTGCTTTCACTATTGACCTCTCTGTTGCTAAATCTGTTTTTTCTTTGTCTTTACTTTTTGAACTTCTTGTAATACTTATGATACCTTCAAATAATTGTGAATATTGGCTTCTGTGATGTAAAAACCTCCATTAATTATCCGTATACCTATGTAATCAGTAATGTTGCTGTTCCTTTTATAATATGTGTGACTGTTACTTAGGGATTGACGTAGACATTCATCTTTCCCCACTATACTTTTTTTCTGCAGCCTTGTTCCTGTGTTTTCATTTTGTTCATTTTTATTTACTTGACCTTCAAATTAATATGAGTAGTCTGATTTTTTTTTGTCTCCAGCTCCCAATCAATATACCAAAATATTTACTAGTGCTATGGTTATGAATGAGGACTCCCAAGTAAGAGAAAATTTGATTTGAATTTTAGCTTTTTCTTTTGTGTGTATGTAATTTTTTTTAATGTAAAATTCATTTTCTTTGTGAAATAATAGTGTCATGGGCTTGTAGTGAGAATTACATAAAGTTAAGCTTTTAATGCACTTAACTGTAGTATCCAGTGTATAACACTTAGCTACTTCTGTGGTGCTAATATTATTCTAATATTCATTATCATTCATTCCTAGTATTGTAGAACTGCTCCAGAATATCCTACTATGCTAAACTTTAGTACACCTAAAGCTATTTATCCTTATTTCCTCTAAAAACTACCACCACCAACAAAAACCCATTTTCCATCCATTGCTTCCTTTTCAATAAGAACACCACTAATCAGCTTAAATAAGAAATCTGCCTCAACTCCTGCCTTCCCTTCCATATCTAGTCAATCATTAAAGCCTGACCATTTCACTTTTACAGGTTTCCTTAATCAGTACATCAGCACAATTCCTGCTTTAGCTAGCATTATTTTCCTTTTTTCACAACTGCCTCCTAATGTGATTATTTCACTTTCTTGCTGTGTACTTCTCAGGTGAATCTCACTATTTCTTCAAATTTTTTAGTGGCTATCTGTGATCTGACTTCGGTTATTTCTTAGTCTTGGACACTAAGCTTTTCTTCCTGAATATGCTCTATTTTCTCATCACCTTTACTGTGTGCTCTATTAATGTGAAATACTCTTCCCTTTCTTCAGAGAAAGTGTTGAACCTGTAGTTCATTTAATCTCCTGCTTAGACTACACTCCAAGAAAGCTTTGCAGGAATTACCTCTAGACCTCTCTCTAACTTGCTTCTTGGCATAATACTTATTTTGCTGTGCATTACTCTTCCCCATCATGAAGAAAAAAAGGTATTAAAATCATAACACATCTGAGTGCTGTGATTATGAAAGTTATTTCTGTATTTTTTCTAAATAGTTGGAAACAGAAAAAGGAGATTATTCAGTGTGGCTACATTGAGAATGAGAGCTAAAGAAATCCAGCAGGAACCCCCCCTCCCAAATCAGTCTTTGGGTTCTTGAAGTGAGACTCCATTTTAAATAGAGTAGATGTACATCTAAGCAGTCTTAATCATGGTGTGATCCTGCTCATCATTGACCATTTGTAGTCTGGGCTTCAGAATCTAGGTAGTCTGACAGGTTGTAAGAACTATGTGAAATCTCTTCCTGGAAACAAGTTCCTCTCCCAGCAGGAGATTCTGGGGATCCATTGTTTCAGTAGTCCCAATAGACTGGAGCTACAAGTGTCTTTTAGCAATATCTTTATTTCTCCTGGGCTAGTTACAATCCCCCCCCCCCCTTCTGTTTTAATACCTCAAACTTGTGGTTGAATGTGTCTGTGTCTAAAACAAATAGGGAATGCAAGTAGGAAAAAGAATAGAGTAGATTTAGTTAGTTCCAGGTAGCTGTGCATAAGAACCATTTTAGTTAACTTTGGAAGGGCTGGCACATTGCTGGTTTGAGACAGGGTCTAGACTGGCCTCAAACTTAACAAGCCTCCTGCTTCAGCTTCCCAAGTGCTGGGAATACAGGCAGGTGCTACCATGTCTGGCATGTATTTCTATAATTTTTTTTAAAGAAAAATGTTTTAATACTTTTCTTTTTCAATCCATGAATTGTTTTAATTGAGAGTATGCTCTTTACTTAAAAACTTTGATTTAAACTTTCAAATTCATACAAATTTCCAGTAAAACTGAAATTTAAATTGTTACATGTTTTTGTTCTGTATATTTGTATAATCATTACTTCATTTAATATTTTAAAGAACATAATGCTACAACTTTTTTTAATATAGGATATGTGAACTTTTGCAAAGTGGAGCCATAATGAATAAATTTTATCAGCCTCATGAAGCACATATTCCCTACCTCCTACAGCTCTTCATTGACTACAATCTTTATGGAATGAATTTAATAAATCTGGCTGCTGTCAAGTTCCGAAAAGCAAGAAGGAAAGGTAAGGTTAATTTTCAAGTTCAGATTAAGGCTTTGAAACTGGTGTTATATAATCAATGCTTTACAAAATAGTATTTATTGAGAAAATAAGCTATGAAAGAATAAAGAGTAAAAAGAAATGCCTAGAATAAAATGTGAGAGTCTCAGGAAAGGCTCAGAAAACATTTTAAATAGTTAAGATATTCACACCCTATATACTTCACCTACTCTACAGAGGATAATTTGAAAGATTTTAGTATATTCAGAGCTGTGAAAGCATCACCACAGATGGCAAATACTTTTATCACTTCTGAATGAAGCCATTGTATGCTTTAGTGTTCTAACCTACAAATTTTCCAGGCCTATGATTCTGAAACAATCACTAATCTACTTTCTGCTTCTATATATTTACTATCTTGTACATTTAATATTAATAGAATTGAATTGTATGGGACCATATAATTTTTCCAATTTAGCCTAATAGTCTTTTTTTTTGGAGACAGGGTCACCCTGTAGCCCCAGCTGGCCTGGCCTGGAACTCTCTGTGTAGACCAGGCTAGCCTCAAACTCGGAAAGATCCACCTGCCTCTGCCTCCCAAATGCTGGGATTAAAGGTGTGCACCACCACGCCCAGCTAGCCTAATATTCTTATTAAGGTTCATCCATACTGTGGCATTCATTTCTTTTGAGCATATACTCGAGAGTAAAATTTCTGGTTCAAGTAGTCTAGCTTTCTTTTTCTTTTTAATTAAAAAAATTTTCATTGTTATTTTTATGTGTATGAGTGTATTGCTTTCATGTATGTAAGTGCACCCGTGCAGTGCCTGTGGAGGTCAGAAGTTGGCATTGGATCCCCTGGAACTGGAGTTAACAGATAGTTGTTAGCAACCATGTAGGTGCTGGGAATAGAACCTGAGTCTTCTGCAAGAGTGCTCTTAACTGCTGAGCCATCTCTCCAGCCCCTGGTCTAGCTTTCTTTTTTGTTTGTTTTTTTTTTTATATATGTGTACATGTGCATGCTGAGGGAAGTGCTTTACCTACTGAGATATCCCTTCTCCCCCTCTTATACATCTTTTAAAGCAAAATGAAATGGGTATTTTTCTTCCAGCCACAATGTACTTCATGATTGCTTTATTTCCCCTCCTCACTGCCATACTTCATCCAGATCGCATTTTTGTCTCTTTGTTTACCAGCCATTCTCTTTTGGTTTAATTCCTTCCATTTTCTCTACCATACCCAAACTTACTTTTGTATCCATGAATAAATAGTGGGCTATATTTGGGGGGTGGTCAGTCTCCTTTAAAAAACAAAACAAAATAATTTAAAGGCTGGATAAAAGTCAAACAAAAATACTGAATGCTTCAAAAAATTTGCAAATAGTGAAAAGTACAGACCAATGGAGCAGTGTAGAGCCCAGGACTAGATGACCAATGAAATAACTTGTAATTGCCTTGCATGTTAGCTTTGACAATGGTGCTGTAAATCAGTGGAGAAAGAATGGTCATTTCCAAAATATGCTAGAATGATTGGCTGTCCTTATGCCAGAACTGACACATATAGTTTATTGGTTTGTACGTAGCGTGTTTGTGTGCTTTCATCTCTGTGTCTATGTGTATGTCTGTTATTGAAGATTGCATTGAAAGGAAGCATTCTACCACTAAGCTGAATATCCAACTCTTGTTTTCACTTTAGTTTTGACATACATTCTCACTAAGTTGTTCAGGCTGATCTCGAACTCACTCTGTAGCCCATGTAGGCATTGCACTTAAAATCTTCCTGCTTCAGTTGCCTTAATAACTGGGCATGTAGTACCAGGCCCAACTGATTTATGCTTTTTTAAAACATTAAGATGCATTACAGATTTAAATGTAAAATGTAAACTATCAAATATCTTGAGAAAATAAGGGAGAAAATTTGCCCAACCTCGAATTTGACTGAGGTTTTTAGAACACTCCATGATCCATGGACAAGATCCATGAAGGATTTATATTGGTTAAATCTGATTTTGTCAATATTTGAAACTTTTGCTCTGTGAAAACACTTTCTAAAGAATGAAAAGATAAATCACAGTGTAAAATTACTTTTGCATATTACATATGTAATAAATATGTCTGAAATACATAGGGATTTCTGAAAAATCAACAATAAAAAAAATGTAATTAAATATGACCAAAAGGTCCAAACATATTTCACCCCTCCCAAGAAAGGTTAGAAGATGGCAAAAACATGAAAAGATGATACTCAACATCACATAATACTAGAAAAATATGAATTAATACCTACCTCTATACACCTATTATAAAGGGCTATCATTCAAACTTCACATAGTACTAGAAAAATATGAATTAAGAACTACCTTTACACACCTATTATAAAGGGCTGTCATTCAAAGACTGATGATAACCAATGCTGGCTAGTAGCAATTATCATTCATTGCTGATGGCAAATATAAAATTGTAGCTCCTTTGGAAGATGTTTTCTGAATGTAATAATTTTAAACATATACTTACAGTCTGACCTAACCATTGTACTCTTAGATGCTTGCCCAAGTGATTTAAAACTTAGGTCTACCCAAATCCAAACGCAAATTTTTGCAGCAGTTTTATTTGTAATTACTATAAAAGTATGAAACAGAATGTTGACTGAATAGAGGAATTCATAAACAATTATTAATATCACAATTGCTGTTTATATCTATTGTGTGTTTTGTTTGTGGATTAGAATTGAAGTATATTTTCAATTTCCTATGAAGTGTCCAGTAGAATTTTATTGAAGGTCACAGAGTACCCTAGGAATTTAAAGTCTAAAAATTTATAATTCTTTATTTTTAAATGAGACTTTAAATTTTATTTTTATTTTACATGTATGAGTGTTTTTCCTCCATGTATTTAAGTGAACCACATGCCTACAAACCCAACAGAGGCCAGAAGAGGACATCAGATCCTTTGGAACTGAAGTTATGGACTGTTAGCCATCATATGGGTGCTAGAAAGTGAACCTATTTCCTCTAGAAGAGCAACAAGTTCTTAAGCACTGAACCATCTTACCAGCCTCTTAAATGAGATTTTTTCATCATATTTATGTCAGTAACATTTAGATATATGATACTTTTATTATACTATGAAAATTTTATAGCAATTTCTTGTTCATTACTATACATTGCAAACATTTTTTTTTCTCTCTTGGTCTGAGACTATTATTCTCAATTATATGTATTCCTGTGTATGTATGAATCTTTAGGACATAATTTTTAGGAACTAGTCATATGATTTGTAAATAACTTTATACAAAGGATAGTTTTATACAAATTAAAAGGATAGTTTATTTAAATATACCTTTTTTTTCCTAGGTGATGCATCACATGCAACTGGATCATTCAAGAATCAGTTATCAGCAAATTCCCCTGCTGGTACTTTATTTAGGTGGGAAGAAGATGAAATACCAAGGTTAGTCAGTGTTTTTAAAGAAACGAACTTTTTATGTATTAGTTGTAATCAGTAATCAGTAGCTATCATAATTAAAATTTAATCTTTTACTATGTTGGTTAAATCTATGTTTATTTTAAAAGCAAATCTCAGTATTAATATAGTACATGGAATCGCAGATTTATAAAGCACAAGGGCCTAGCAAAATGATTCATTAAGTAAAGGCACTTGCCAACAAGCCTGATGACCTGAGTTCAATGCCTGTTACCAACTTAGTGGAAGAGAACCAACTCCCCCAAATAAATTACCATGTGACTTCCACATGCAAGCAGTGGCACTCACACCTACACACATAGACACAGACACACAATAAATAAATATAAAGAAAACAAAAAAACAGCAATAGTTGAGGACAAGAAGAATCATGAATATCATTTGCTCACTTTTCTGTGTGCTCACCTTATCTCTTGTTGCATGTTTTTGTTTCCCATCTGAAAACCATTTAGGATTGCAGGAAAAAAAAATACATCTAGGCAACTGTTTTAATATGTATATGATTTTTGGTAAATATCTGTGTTGTCCCTCTGTTAACCATTTCTTCCTTACACATGACCACATGATAAACATTGAATATTCTTTACATATAAAATACAGTGGGGGCTGGAGAGATGACTCAGTGGTTAAGAACACTGGTTGTTCTTGCAGAAGACCTGGGTTCAAATCCCAGCACCCACATGGCAGCTAACAATTATCTGTAACTCCAGTTCCAGGGGATCCGATGGCTTCCTGTGTCCTCGTGGGCATTTTATGACAATGGGTGCACTTACCTACATGCAGGCAATGTACTCATATACATAAAATAAAAATAATAAATAAAATATTTTTTTTAAATACAATGGACCAAAAGACTGCATTTAAATTATTTTTATTTTATGTTATATGAGTGGTTTCCCTTTATGTAAGTCCACTTGTGTGTGCAATGCCTGCAGAGGCCAGAAGAGGGTGTCAGATCCTCTGGAACTGGAATTATGAATGGTTGTGAGCCACCATGTGGTTGTTGGGAACTGAACTCTGCAAGAGCAGTGGGTGCTCTTAACCACTGAGCCATCTCTCCAGCCCCTAGACTGCATTTTAAATGATAGCAATAGGATTGTCTTTGTGTAGTAGGTTTTATTTTTTTCCTCATCCTATTTTTCATTTATATGTACACAAAGAATCATGAATAATTGTGAATTTATTTAATATCCTTCGGTTTTCTGGTTACTACCTATGAATTCCTGTATAACAAAAATCTTAGATCTCCATCACCACAAAAATAACTTAGGAATTTTATGCTGGTGTAATTACTGTATTTATTGACATCTTTTCTTCACAGTTCTTTGTTACTGGAAGGTGTTGAACCACTGAGTACATGTGAATTAGAAGTGGATGCTGTAGCTGCTGACATCTTAAATCGGCTGGACATTGAAGGTACACATGAAATTTTATATATATATATATATTTGTAAAACATAATGACCAAGTAGAATTGAACTATTACTAGAGACCTAAGATATTATAGGGGAAAGCAAAATGTTTGGTGTTTCCTTCGTAATTTCTGAGGAGAGAATGTATTACCCAGCTTTCTGTAGCAATGACAAAAATACTTGAGAAAATCATTTTAAAGGAAGCTTGTTTGGGTTCTCAGTTTCAGAGGTTTCAGTCCATGGTCATTTGGCTTCGTTGTCTTTGAGCCCCTGGTAAGGCAGAACATTGTGGCAGAAGGGCATGGTAGAACAAAGCTGTTGACCTCATGGAAGCTAGGAATCAGACAAAAAGGGACTAAGACAACATAAATACTCCAAAGGAACATACCTCCTCAGGTTACCTACTTCCTCCAATTATACCCAACTCCTAATAGCCCATTCCACCCTAAACTCAATGATTAATTAACTTAGTGGTCTCATGATCAAATCACCTCTTAGTAAAGCTGTCAGTCTGAGACCATGCTTGCAACACATGAGTCTTCAGAGAACATTTCTAATTTAAATCATGATGGTCATGTTTTTGTTAATATTTCCTTTTATATGACTATGTTTGTCTAGATATGATACTAAAGTAAATGTGACACTAAAAATTCCCAGTGCTGGGCACCCCTTTAATTCCAGCACTTGGGAAGCAGAGGCAGATTTCTGTGAGATTGAGGCTAGCTGGGGCTACAGGGAAACCCTATCTCAAAAACCCTATCTCAAAAATTCTAGTATAAACTAATTTCATGTACTTTGCCTTTTAATTGTTTTTTTTTTTATTTATTTTTATCTTAAATTATGTGTATGTGTGTGTGTCTATGTGTGGGTATGTGCACACGAGTCCAGGTGCCCATGGAACCCAGAGGGGTCAGATGCCTTGTAGCTGGATGTAATGGCTGTTTTGAGCCCCCTTACATGGATCCTGGGAACTGAACTCAGGTCCTCTGAAAGGGCCATGGATGCTCTTAACTACTGAGCAATCTCTCTAGTCCTTGCCTTTTAACTGTTTTATCTTCAGGTTTTATATTAGGGAGATTAGTGTTAGATCTATTGGCTGCTATCGTATGTTTGGATATTATTTGGTTGGGTTTGGAGGAGTCATTAGGGCTGAAAAAAACTAAAAAGGGAGCAACATGATTAACTCCACTGGGATAATTGTCCATTAAAGGACACAGTGTTTTTCTTTAAAGGTAGTATTTATTAACGCTTGGGGGTTATTGTAGCAAAATTTTTTCACTTTGACCCTTATAAAATTGAGATACTGTGATTACAGCTCAAATTGGTGGAAACCCTGGTCTACAGGCCATATGGGAAGATGAAAAACAACGGCGAAGAAACAGAAATGAAACTTCTCAAATTAGCCAACCTGAATCACAAGGTATAAACCTAGTAATACTCAAGTTATTTAAGTAAATATTTTTAGTGGATAAATTTAGTCATTTAGGTTTCTCTTAACATTAGATGGTCCATTTTAAATTACCTTTAAATATTCTATGTATTTCTATGCATTCCTCCTATTGTCATTGCTGGACAATAATTATCTCTATAGCTACCTCTGAGTGTTCCTTTACCTCATCATTTCTACTATTCTTGGTTTTCAGTTTACCTTCCTTTCTTGCCAGTTTCCTTTCTTTTCTTTTTTTTTAAAATTTTATTCATTACTTTTATGTGTATGAGTGTATTGCCTGCATGTGTGTAAGTGCATCTGTGTCATGCAGTGCCCATGGAGGTCAGAGGAATGCATTGGATTACTCCAGAATTGGAGTTACAGACAGTTGTTATTTGCCATGTGGGTGCTGAGAATTGAACCCTGGTCCTCTGTAAGAGCAGTCAGTGCTCTTAACTGCTGAGCCCTCTCTCCAGCCCCTGTTGTTCCTTTTTCATCCTCTGGTATATTCTTGTCTTTATTTCCAAATGAGATATTGAAAACCACAAGTCTCAACTTCGAAACACTGTTTTGTTTATTCTGCTTTAATATACAAGCCATGAAATAGTATCTTTATTTTCTGGAAATGTCATATAAACTCTCACCTTAATCATCGTGTACAAATATAAGGAAAATATTTATTTACTATTAGTTGTTGTAATCAATACCATGAAAACAGCAAAATTCTAAAGATAAATAGTAAACAAATAAGTCTCTATTGAAATCCAATTTTAAATTTTACTGTGTCTAGGGTACCAAAAATGTTTTGATAAAATTTTTGTGTTTTTTTAGTGCCCCTTAAATTCCAAATATATTTTACAAGGATGGGAATCATTCATTTGCTATCTATATACTTCTTAATGTGCTTTTAAAATTTAAAGATTGCAGGTTTGTGCCAGCAACAGAAAGTGAAAAAAAATTTCAGAAGAGACTTCAAGAAATTCTCAAACAGAATGATTTCTCTGTGTAAGTGGTTCTTTATTATAGATCTCAGAGCTAATTTTGTTTCTTTGTGACACTTTGTTATAAAAGTTATATTTTAATTAAGCAGAACATTATCAGGATCTGTGGACTACAACAATGGATCCCAAGAGTTTTCTGCTGAGCTAACATTGCACTCTGAGGTTCTGTCTCCTGAAATGCTTCAGTGTACACCAGCCAATATGATAGAAGTACACAAAGACACAGAATTGAGCAAAGGTGAGATTATCTTTTCAACTAAGCGGAAATACTGTAACAGACGTCTCTGTATTAGGTACTAGTTTCAATACTTGACTGAGTTTTCTCATTTCTTTTTTCTCCTAAGAAATGAACATGGGTATAGTAAAAAATCCTCTCCTTTTCATTTACCCTTTTGACATCTCTAAAGATAAACACTATGCTGAAGTTAGTGTAGCTGTCAGTATGTATAATTTTGTGGGATTTTTTAATATGTAAGTCTACAATATATACTATGGCTTAAAGTTTCCCATTTTATACAAATGGTATCCTCTTTGGCATATGTTAAGCAATTTACTTTTTACATTTAACATCTTCTATTTTTAAACAACTTTTAAGTCATTTAAATAGCATAAAATTCACTCATTTAAAATGTTTAATTAATTCAGTAATTTATAGTAAATTTGTATAGACTTTCTCCATGCTCTAATTTTAGAACATTGCCATCAGCCCAAAGGATCCTTGTATTCACTGGCTGTCCCGTCTCACCTCTAAAACGTCAAGTAACCATTTACTTAGGTTCTTGTCTGTCTACGTTTACCTCTCCAAGATAAGTCGTATAAATGAAACCATACATTATATGAGTTTTCTTCCACTATATTTATCAGTGTTTATCTTTGCTGTGATAATCAGCAATACTTCATTCCTTTTTATTGCCAGGTGTGATAATTTGTTTACTTAGCAGTTCATAGACATTTGAGTCAGTTTTGACTGATACAAATAATATTTCTGTGAACAGTAAAATAGGAAATTTAGAATAACTTATGAGAAGAGTTATAAAATATTAAAATAGCACCAGTAGAACCAGTTTCACAGTAAACTTTACTACAAAAATTACCTTTGCAGAAGGAGAAAAAAAATCACAACATTTCTTTATATGAGCAGCTTTTCATTTCTCTTCAGTAGATGAAAGTGAGTGGAGTTTGGAGATCACGTGGTAATTTGTGTTAAATTTTTTAGTGAACTGCCAACCTCTCTTCTAAAGTCAATTGCACTGTTTTACCACCAGCATTATGTGAGGCTTCCTAAGATTCTCTACCTTTTTATGAACATTTGATACTATCTTTTTAAATATTTTATTTTTATTTTATGTGTATGAATATATTGTCTGCCTGTGTATAAGTGCACCCATGTTGTGCAATGCCCATAGAGATCAGAAGAGAACATCAGATTCACCTGGAACTAGAGTTATAGATGATTGTTAGCCTCCATGTGGGTGCTGGGAAGTGAACCTGGGTCCTCTGCAAGGGCAGCCAGTGCTCTTCAGTGTTGAGCCATCTCTCCAATATTCTTCTTAATGTTCTAGAGTATACAAAATGGTTTCTCGTTTGTAGTTTTAATTTTCATTTCCCTCATTACTAGTGATGAGCAGCATATTTTTGTCAACATCTTAACTTTGAAATTTATTCATTCATTTTAGCTGCTAACTGATGTTTTATTTTAATATTTAGTTTATTCAAACTATAAGTATTAGGTGATTTTCACTTTTGCCAAGTGCTGTATCTGCTATCTTAAGAGTGTGCAAAAGTTCTACAGAATACATACAAGTATAATTTGTTAGTTGCTAGTATGCATGCAGTAAATATAGCTTTTATATAATTTGTGTGTAAGAGAATAATGAATGTTTACTACTATAATTCTTTGAAATGACATCTCCATATTTTAATCTGCATTCCTAGTTATCAATGAATTGGAGCAAAATAAAGGCCATTTGGATGTTCTAGGCTCATTTTCTGTTAGGTCATTGAGGTTTTTTTTGTTTTTTTTT